AGGGGCTCCTGGCATCGCTACTAGTAGCATTCTTACTACTAGGAACAAGCTACGAACGGGGCTCTTGGCCGTACTACCAGGAGCAAGGACGCTCCGAACAGAACAAAGGGCATCGCTACGAACGGAGCAAGGATGCTATTAGGGATTCCTGGCCTTACTAAAAAGAGAGGCGTCCTTCAGAGTTCTTCAAGTCCCCCATGGACCATGGGCAGATGCTTGACTTCGAGGACGGTTCATGGTGAATGGATGTGAACTAGTCTTGTTTTTCGAAGCCGCAATGCACACGTTCCTGGTGCTTCTCCAAACCGAAACCCATAATCACCTCCAATACCCTTCTCACGGCGCCTGTCTCAGCCGGGCCGCTGCTTGCCCTTCACGCTCTTCAGCCTGGTTGGAGAAATGTGTTCCTCCACCAATCAATTGGGAATCGCCACATGTCACTGGGCCATTGAGAGGGCGAGGGAGGGTTGGGAGTATGAAACCTATGATGCTCTTTGTTCTACTCGAGACTTGAAGATTCTAACGAACAGATTATTTTTAGTGTAAACACTTGTGAGATGTTCTGATCGTCTAGTCTTGACAGCAAGATCAGATCCACAAACTACACCATTGATTCTATACCAAACTGGTCCACCGGGGCCATAATCGATATCTATGTGGTCAGCTCCATGGATGTGACGTGCTTGCCGTAGTCGTTGTAGGCTGCTTCTTCGGATCTGTGCTTCTTCAGGCTTCTGCAGGTGGTTTCTGCTCGACGGAGAGGAGGTTGAATCCCAAAAATCGAGATCAACCTCGACTGATCCTCCATGATGTGCAACACATCGACGACCCAGAAAAATCCGCCCGGACAATAGCGGGAAAAGAGACCCCACCCTGATCTCACCCATCGAAAACGGCAGTTCCAAAAACTCAGCGCTTGATACACTGGTTGGTAATTTGAACTCAGTGAGAGAAATATGAGTCAGTGGGTTCAATCATCCCAAGTAGTTAAAGGTTGAACAAATATATCTGGAACCACCGCCCAGATCCACCCAGTATAACATCGTGTCGATGCGTCATGCACACGGGAATTTGAGCGACGACGCAAGCTTTCCGACCAGCTCCTGAAGAGCACCCCTCAATGGGACGGCTCCAGATTTTGACCGGTGTGGATGCATTGAATGCGGAAACATGCGAAAACCAGTGGATCCCAGTGGATCAAGAGGAACCAACATAGCAAGCATAGTGGTGAGATGTGAAGTTCTTCTTTTTTAAGTCTTTTTCCTGACCAATTCAGTGATTTGGAGATCAACGCCGTCTCATCTCCTGGGTACTATAGATCATTATAGATCTTTTGAATCCAACCCTCAATCGAGGGATCCATAGTTGCCCGGTGCATCATTTCATTTCTCTATTAAGCCCGGGTCCGTCATTTCATTTCTCTATTAAACCCGATCTGTCAGCAGCCGTCATGTCATTCTTCAGCTACTGGACTAGTGGCCTCGAACCCCACCACGCCATCCATCACCATCCACTATCCATTACGTATCATCCATCGCCGACCTTCAGCTTCTTCTCATTCCTTCTCCCCAATGATTGATTCAATCGATCTTTCCTTGGACTTGTTCAGATTCAATGGATTCCGATGAGGACTCACCCACGTCAACCACCCCAAAATAAACCCCCCTAAGGATCCGGACCCTCAAAAACCAAGGGTTTTGAGGCCCTAAACATCCCCAAACCCCGGTTTCTAGCACATTTCGACAGATTTTTTGAGGAACTGTGCACGCGAACCGCTCCAACCGGCTCCAACCGCGCCTGCCAAGTCAGGTCTTCTAAGCTCTCGTCCATCCGCTCCGGTGCCAAGAGCAAAGCTGCTCGGCCGCCCCCAGCGCTGGCCAGGACACGCCACGCACGGGCAGCCTGGTGACTTGTGGCGATAGTTGGGGCGATCTTTGGCAAGGTTGGCTGTTGTGGTTCGAAGCGAACGTGCGGAGGTCTGTTTATTTTGCCGTTCTCGGAATATTCAACATCTTTCAAGGGTCACCTAGCCTATCATTGTTGAGCTCACGGACAACTTTTCAGTTGTACGAGTATTTGCTTGCGAAAAACATTTAGATCATTTAATTTAAGATTCCCAACTAATTAAGATGTAGTCACGTAGTCTTGATCTCACCCCCCCAGAATGTCTCACGTCCTGTTGACCTCCCTGTGGTACCGTCCCTGCCTCTGGTGACTGCTGTAAGAGCCGCGTGGTTTGCTGCGGAAGGGCTGCTGCGCAGGTCAAAGCCTTTTCAGTTGATGGGAAAAAATCGATTCCACCGATGAACTCCGTGGGAAAAGGATGGAAAAGGAGGCTTTTCGTCGGCGAAGCTTGCCCTGGGAGATGACTTGAACTGCCACTGATCATGGCTTCATATTGCTTCTTTTGGAGTGCGTGGGACTCATCCTTCTATTGTTTCAAGATGTTTCAAGGGTCCAACATGCGCAGTGTATGTATCCTGGATTATCCTATGAGGCATAATATGACTTTCTATGCACTGGTTCCCCTAGATGTGGCAGGGTTCAACACACCCGACTTGTAGCTTGGTGTACCCTTCCTAAGTTAAAAGTACCGCAAGGTAATACAACGCGGTTACGAACGCAATTATACGCCCAACCGTCTGATTCCTTCTCTGTGCAACGTTTCCGCGCCCGGTTCGCATTGCAAATAGCTTTCCCCCGCTTGCACTTCCACGGCGGAGCTATGAGCGAGAACTGGGTCGCTCTGAGTCCATGACTGCATCCGAAAGCTGCGACAAGAGCCTAGCCGGGAGTCCATGACGGGTCGGTTTCGAGTTGACACACCAAGACACACACACACACACATCTGCGCACCCTCCCGAAGAAAACTGCGTCAGGATGATCGCCTGCCAGAAAGGCCAGAATTTGTGTTAGAGACTCCATGCTGAAGCGCTGTCAGTGTCACGTGCCTGCTCAGCATCTTCAGATTCTATCACCTTCGTGGCATCAAGCCAAGCACTCCAAGCCGCCAAGCCACTCAAACGTACTCATGGTCAAAAAAATAAAAAATAACATCTTTTCTAGGCCCCCATGCCTTCTGCAAGAGCGGTGCCCGTGCAAGCAAACCCAATGGCGTGGCGCCCTCATCATCTTCGATAAGAAGCGTGGCTGGTGCGAGCCTGAGGAATAAATAGACTCTTGATGGTTTTGTGCTGCAGCTCCATCTCACACTCACAGAAAAGCGGAACAAGAGAAAAGCGGTCCCAAGACACTGATGTATGAAGGAATGTACCCCCCCCAAAAAACGACCAGACTTCTGCGGACCGAGAGGTGATTCTCATCGTCCATATCAATGGTTTAGTTGGGCTCTCACCTCTCGGCTTCCTGAGAGCCCAACTGCAGAAGCCTCACTAAGAGCTGCAAGGCCATGTGGGTCCCGGCGCTGGAAGCCAAATGGGCAGGCAGTCGCCCCCCTGCAGAGCTTTTCGCCAGAGAACATGCATTTCTGGTCTGTTTGACGGTTCTTTGAAAGTCCTTAACTAGCGAACTGGGTACAGTACTATACACCACTGGTCCTTCTTACAGTTATAATCCAACTTGCAGCAAGGAGAAAAGTGTTTGGCTGCCTGCCATCGGTGGACAGCAAACTTGCACCACTGCGCAGCAGCACTGTCACGCTGTTAAAATGGCACTCCTGCAGATCGCCGGCGCTTCTGAGGTCCAAATCATGTTTGACTTCTCGATCAACATAGATCAGAACAAAACCCACACCATTCTTACAGCAAGCCATAGCAAGCCATTTGATGCCATTCGCAGTGTTTTTTGGATCCCAGCCTCGCTCTTTGATGAACCTTAGGGTCGGTCGAACGCGCAGCCCAGCGGATCCGATCTGAGTCCCTGTCACCAGTGACCTCAACCGTCCGAGGCATGGGCACAGCTCGTTGAGGCGTCGCTGGGCCACACATTTGAGATTCTGTGCTGGGAGGCTCCACATGGGGCCCAAAGCCTGGGAGGCTCCACGGTGCCAGGCCCGTTCAACACGCTGCCGAACAGAGCTGGGAGAAGCTGGGAGCCCCTTGCAGTTAAGGCTTCGTAGAGGGAGAGCCGACCATTCAGCATCCGCAACCTGGGCGTGAAACGTGAAGCCATCGAACATCGCATCATGCGGCACTTCCGCGATTCTCTGAGCCCAAGCACATGGGGTTGGCAGGTGGCAGTGGCACATTCGCTGAGTTCAGGCTGGCCGTCAGCACGCGGCGTGCTGGAGCCCGCACTTGCTTCACCTGGATCGCCCACTTGACATTATCAATTCTCAATGGTTCATAATTGTCTTGAACACGGGTCAGTTGCAGCACGCTATTAGCCACACAAAATTCCAGCTCCAAAACCACATTAGCCGGCACACGAAGACAGGAGAAGGCCAACCGTCCACATGAACGCTTGCGATTCTAAGGCCCACAAAACATTTTGCCAGTTGCATCCACTTGCCCATACTTGCCCAACAAAATGACCCACAATGATCTGGGTCACCGTGTTTTCTGCCAAGAGATTTGTCTCCCGCCCACCCGCACAAAGGAGCATTTGGGTTTGCCCAGTCAGCCCAGTCACCCAATCTCCGTCCTTTTCACGTCCGGCAAACGCCTGAGGAGCGCACCACCTGAACCCAAAACCTGGCGCTGCGCACTCGCAGCAAGAGCTGCTCAACCGCCGGCTTGTCGGTCTGGCCAAAGCCTCGAGTCCACGAGGTCGACGGGACGAGGTTGACGAGGAACGGAACCCCTGGCACGGTGCAGGGTTTAGGGCTGAAAGAGATGGGGCTGAAGTACTAATGATTATGAATGACTGTATATGACCGTTGAAGACCTCCAAACACACTCTAAACATCTCAAACTAAACTCTAAATTGACTCTAAATCCTTGCTTTGTTCTTGAGTTTGTGCAGGCGATTGGCTGGCTCAGAGCGAAGACACTAGGGAAATGCATTTAAATGCAACAGTTGTGAAACCGGAAGCAACCAAACGCGCAGCTCCAGAACGAGCACTTTGGATGAAGCTACACAGGCTGTATTTAACATGGCAGTGTTGTGTACAAGACACTAGTGAAAGAACATCATGGCAAACGGCACTCGAACATTCGAGCTACCAGGAGGGGTCTTTATCTGACGTTTCCACGCATGTTTCCCACGCTGTGCACGTGTTCCAACGCACGTTCTTTCCCCCCGGTCCCAAAAATTCATCGGATCGCTCCTTGGGAGCGGTCCCTGGACGCGCGAGCTTCGCGCGAACTTCGTGTGGGGCCTGTTGTTAAGATCAGCCGTTCAAGGATCAGTGCAGTCTCGTTGGTCCCCCTGGGCCGGGCGGCTGCCATGGGGCCCACGAGACTGCAGGCAGGAAGATATGAAAGAAAGAAGGTAAGGGCCTAAGGGCCTGGCCAATTTGAAGGGGACCCTATTAAAAGGACCCTTTACCTTCATGTTTTCCTGTCAATCTTGCTCAAAGCATCAATGAACACAATGAGATGAGCAGTTCTCCATCAATCTTCTCAACTCATCTCATCCTTCTAGTGCTACTTGGACCGAGTCTCTCAATCTTGGCTCCCACAACAGGGCTCCAGTCATCTTCAGAAAGAGAAGCTGAACACCTTTCACAATGGACTCACTGCTTGGCCGTGCTCTGCCTGCCTGCTCCTCAACTTGCTGTGCTGTGCTTGTATAACTGAGCCGGGCAGCTGTGATCGGGATCCCTCTGACTCTGATTCCTCTTCTGCCTTCGGCACTGGACAAAGCTCCACTTGCAAAAGTAGAACACAAGTTGACAGCAGTATCGAGTCATATAAGCTGAGAGCACAAAGCTGTGCTTCTCCATGCCTCATCAGAAGCTGCTTCTTCTGCAAGTTCTTGCCCTCGATCAATATCTTGGGCACAGAGCTCTTCCATCTCATCCTCAGAATCCTCAGAAACCAAACTCATCGTCTCCCCTGTCTAACCTTTTGATGAACTGAGGAAGCAGCGGACACCTGTGCGTGGCGGGGCCTCCCCGCAGATTCCTGGAGGCTGGTTGAAGGCTGGTTCAAGAGAAGAACAGGTCTCCGAAATGGTGACTTTTGCAGACGTAAAAGTGGTAGGTGGTGGGTGACCTGTTGGAGGGTGCTGGCAGTTCTACCAGTATATAATATATACATAATTGAACATATAATCGCGTTTTAAAGGGCCACTCTTCTGTAGGAGGACTTAGTGGATTTGGAGTCCTGCAATCACATGTAACAATACTGTGCGTATAGCCCTTACAGGAGCTGTCCGGGACGGTTGAGAATTGCACAAAAGAACTGCAAGTATCTGCAAGAAGGCCTCTTGTTCTCTGTAACTGCTGAGGTGATAAGTGGAACATGAATTGTTGTCTAACACTTGTTGGCTTCCTCTTCGCCGGCCAATTCGACGGCTTCCATCGGCTTCCTTGACTTTGGAGACATGAGTCCAGTCCAAAGCCACCAGGTGTCACCATGTGTGGACGAACACACGGCCACTGCACCAAATCGTCGGACCAGTCGACCAAAGCGAAGCTTTCTTCGCCCACCTTCCCTATCTGACGTCGCGTCACGCCCACGCCTTGGAACTTCCAAGAGTATTTCCCAGAATGGCTTCCCCAGCCTCCAGCAGCGAGGTCCCGCGACGTCCGCAAAAACAAGCTTGGCGAACGAAGATCCGTGGTTTTCCAGCGCGTTCAGCAAAAAGGGAAGAACAGTTTCCTGACATCGGTTACTCGTAGCTTGGCCAGGAGCTACTAGTAGCGTCCTTGCTCCGTTCGTAGCGATGCCCCTAGTAATTTGTCCTTTTGAACCGCTCCAGCAACTCGATGGCAAATACCGGATGCGTCCGCACTGGTGAACCAGCACGCACCGCCACGCAAGGCGCAAAAGCCATGCAGGCTCAACATGCGAAGAACGAAGCACCGCCCAGTTCTCCACAAAGCTCCTCCGGTTCCTTCCGGTTCTGCTTCGTCTCTCCCGGTTCCCTCGGCCTGCGACCGGGCCTTCGACGCTGCGGCGATGGCCGCGATGCGGGCAGAGAGCTCGTGGGTGCCTTTTTTGGACGCGCGGAGATCGAAACCACGCGCGGGGACGACGTGGAGATCGAAACCGGAGATCGAAAAAACGTGAGGAATAGGGGGAACTTTGGGGAACTCACTGAGGTTTTGGTTGATTTGCCTTGGGATGTTCAATGTGATTCCAAACGACCAAGGAGGATTTTTACAAGTTGATGACAAAGTGCCCCGCAGTAGAGGAAGATCTTTTGAAGCCAAGCTATGGCACAAAGGAATTTAGCACCAACTCATTGGCCTACAGCGTGCGTCTTAGGGAAGTTGCACGCAGGGATCTCTAGCAAAATGGATACTGGACAACCATGGACAACCACTAGGAGTCACTAGGAGCAAGAAGCTACTAGGGGCTCCTGGCATCGCTACTAGTAACAAGAAGCTACTAGGAACAAATGGCATCGCTACGAACGGAGCAAGAACGCTGCGAACGGGGCAATTGTCACATCCACAAAAGGTTCCCTCCACCGGCTCTACCAATGTTCTGGGCTTCCGGCCGCCATTTCCACTGCCATTGTTCATGTGCATGCTGTGGCCATACTATCGGCTTCAAGGGATTGGATTGACGGGCGGCAGCCTGAAGATCTGATTCTGCTGGTCTGAGTCTGAGGACCAGATTTCTTCTCACTGGTCATAGGTGTAGTCAACCCAGTGAGAACGATTTAATAGCCTGTTCAAGTTTAAATTTTAAAGCCAACGCTCAACAGAATCAGCCCAAGCTCCCAAGTCGATGTTGATGATGGGATGTTGCACATTTTTGTGCATCAGCTCTCTGCTGCAAAAGCTCAAACTGCCAGCGGCATTGGCGGTGGCGCACCTATCCAACTCAATCTCCAAGATCCAAACAGTAACAAAAGTGGCGGCGGCAGCAGCAGCAGCAGCAGCAAGCCTCCCTTCGCCACCGTCGTTTTCGGAAGCCTCTCTTTTTTCCGCTAGGCTGGTAGTCTAACGGGCTTCCACTGGCGATCCTGCTGGCTGCTGGTCGATCGATCTTGCCCTTTTTGACGCCCGACAAACAAAGAAATGGCTTGGCGGAGGTGGTACTAGGAGGTCCCACCAGTCTTTCATGGATTGAAGATTTGACTGATTTTTTCAGTTACTTCGGAATGTTAGGACACTATATACGCAGCAGGCATAGAAATACATGCACAATTGCCTCTGCAAAACGATGTCTTGCTCAAAACCAGACATTGAGAACAATGTCATTCACCATGCAACTATGTCCATCTTCATGGTCAGGGGGATGGGTGTTTTCTGGCAAGTGCTTGGATGTTCAACCTTTTCACCATGGAACAATGGTGGAATCTTCGGTCCTCCAAGGCTCGAACCCACTGCCTCTTCCAATTGATGGCTCCAGGTAGATCCGAGTACTTGCGCGCAAACCTGACCGTTGACGGTTGGCAGCTTTAGATCTGAGCAAGTTGGTGCCCGTCTCTTCCGGTCTTCTCTTGCAGGTGATCTCATCCTCTGACTCCTTCAGTTTCTCTGGAAAGTAAAGGTTAAGCTTTTTCTCCCTGCTCTTGTTTAATGGGGAAACCACTCCCCCCCAAAAAGATCAATCAAGCTCAAAGGTTATCCACTGACTGGGTATGTCCTACTCATTTTTTCTCTTTATTCTCGTTTTGCAGCCCACCTCCAGTCAGGTGAAAGCAGCCTCAAACAGTCATCGCAACCATGAGACACAGCAAGTTATGCATTGATCATTGATAAGTCTCTATGCAGAAGACTGTGAAGAAGTGATCTTTGCTTCACCAGTGCTGTACACATCCAACATCTTGGAGAGTTGGGCTGGGCTGACATTCAACCCAGTTTGTTAAGCCAACTCATTGGCCCTCGCCCATCTGGAATTTCCTGTTTCTTTGCCCGCCAAGCCGGCGACTGCATGGTGTCTCTTCTCAATGGCACCAGCTCCCTCAGCAAACGCTCGTGATCCGCCTCCAACGGGAGCTTTGGACAGTGTCGCTGGGCAGTGTGGAAGCCTGGAAGCCTTTTGACTCAAGCGTTGCATAAAAGCTGTTGGACCAACATGGCAGTGATCAAAAAACCTGGAGCTTCCAACCCTGGTAGGATGACCTTGGTGATCTATTCTGTTGACTATTCTGTTCATTGTGGTGCATAGTTCCTCGCATTTGTTTGTCCCGTGCAGTGCGCGATGCTAGTGGTCCGGTGGTGGTCTCTCTCTCTCTCTCTCTCTCGCTCTCTCTCTCTCTTCTTTTGTTGTCGTTGCATTTGCAATCTGATCCAGGTGTGTGAGGTTTGCGTGTTGGTACTTTCATGATCTCTTCCGTACCAAACACCCCGGTAACCCTGAAAGGGCAAGTCTGTTTGTGCTGGTCAACCGGGGTCCCCCTGGACACACTGCCATATCTGGATCATTCTGAAGTTTGGAGGAGTTGCTTCTGGGCCGACTGCATTGACCTTCACCTAGCCTGTGGAGCTGTTTGGTTGTTTGGCCCGCCACTTGCTGTTGTTTCGCCCAGTTTTTCCTCCCATCAAGCGGGCAGTCTCATTGGATTAAACACTTGACGGAACCTTTTCTTTCCGCCAGCTGCAGCCACATGGCAACTCTCCTCTTAGGCCAGAAACTAAGGAGATTTCTGTCCCATATCCTTCGACCTGCCACTAGGAATACTTTAATTGGTCCCCCCGTTCCTGTTTTAACTCTGACATCAATATTAGGCTTCTTCCCATCCGAACTGTCTTCTAGAGAGACACTTCGTGTGTTGTACATTTACAAAGCTGGAGCGGTTCGCAAAACGCCAGGCTCTTGAACAGAACATTTTCTCAAGTTGGAAGGCCCGGCAGCCGCAGGTCACTGCCAAATCTGGGTACCAGTAGTTTGGTTGGCTGTGGCTAGCCACTTGCTGGCTAACTTCATCTAAATTCTAGATTGCTGTGTGCGAGATAGACCAACGAGTTTCTTTTAGTTAGGCACCTTGTGCAGCATTTTGCTTTTGTTCCTAAGTTTGTCTCGATTCTTTCTAGGTACGTTTACCCGATTGCCGCGCTTTCGTGCTTCTCGGCAGGCCTATCTGCGCTCTGAGGGATGCACCTAACCCCCAACTGGCACAGGCTAGTGCATGCATTGATGTGGGAAGCCACGCCTCGTACTTCTGCAGGGTGGCCTTTGGACAGGACATGTCAAGAATGCTCAAACAACGTTCAAACCTCACATGACAGCATACAAGCCACAGCTTGCGGAGATGCACAAGGACACTGCCGACATTCCATCGAAAAAGGACCATTGCCGACGTTGAACAAATAATATATGAAAACATAAATCTGGACGTTTCGACCTTGCAGATTTCGAACACCGACCCCCGCAGCCCCCAAAATCCCCCCCGACCGACCGACCCGCAGCCACTCGGCTTGCTTTTCGGCGCCACGTCCTCGTCACCCCGCCACCGGGCGTCTCGTCCACGCCTTCCACGCTTGGGTCGCCATGGAATCTCGGGGCTCCGCTCGGCGTATCTTCGCAGACAAGAATACCCAGCCACCCGGATGGTGTGACAGAAGTGACCCCAGTGGTCAGTGTTCTTATTGAGTCTTATCAAAAGAAGCTACTATAGGGTTTGTATGCGTTTGTCAGGCACCTGTTCACATGGGAGTTTTTGAGTTGAGAAAAAGGTTTTACAATGTTTTACAATCATATAGTATAAAGCCATAAATAATGCATAGCATATCATGGCGTGCCTCGATGCCCAAATGTGGATTCTCATTGGCTTATATTGGATGCTCACTACACCACTCCTCTGCTTCGAAAGTGCATCAAAGTCGTATGCCCTTTAGGGCACGGATCCCCAAAAGTGGATCCTTCTCCCGTCACATCCAAAGACACATTTTTCATCATTTTTCTAAGACCTGAGTTCCCATCTCTCTCCCACTCCGTCCCCCTTCGCTTCCGCGGCGAAAGCCGAAGCCCTCTCTGGTAGGTTGACCTCCCAGGTCGCCATCTCCCTAATTCTTCCCCCCCCGGAACCGGTGCTTTCCGGTGGCTTTTCCATGCTTATCCCTATTTCGATCTGTTTCCTCCGCGGAACCGCGGAAGGTTCCGCGCGCGGTGCTCCGGCGCGTTGGATCGCTGCTCTCCTTCCATCGGAGGCCCTTCATGGACTCTTCCAGCTGGAAGCGTTGCGTCTCCAACTCTTCTCGCTGCGTCTGCTGCAGTAGCATCTCTTTGGACCGGAGCACCTGACACCGCGGAGGAGGGGTGGTTTTCCGAGCGAGCCTGTTTTGGGTGGAAATGGTGGCTGGGTAGGTTGGAAAAGGCTTCAAATAAAGGTACAAAAGACTTTGGGAATAAAACATCATAAAACCAAGCTTGAAAGGGTCGACAAGGTCAAGCCTAGGATATTCTTTGAGCCTCATTACAATTCAATTGTAGCATGTTCTATTCTGTTCTGGTGGGTGAGTTCTTACTTTTTCCAACCAAAGAATTGCCAATGTGACTTGAGAATGTTTGCTGGACATGTTTGGATGAGGACTTTGTTCTCAAACAACTTCCAGGCGCAACATGTCGCACAGGGGGAGGAGGGGCTCTCCTTGGCAGTCTTCAAGACTTCATTGCGACACAAACAAACCCATACCGATGCTCCAAGTTCAAGCCTAACTAATACCACACACATTCCAAATGGACTATACTATATGGATCTATATGGTTTACTACCTCACCAAGCTCAAGCTCAAAGAACATCCAATGCCCTCCTTTCTCCTCCTGTTTGCGTCTCCTGCTGATGGATCTCCTGTGTCCGCGTCACCATTGAACCACCGACCTCCTCCTGTCTGTCTCTTGGATATGGCGCCTGCTGATGGATCTCGCGACGCGTGAGCACCGTAAGAATGCGCTTCATGGAGAGTTTGACCTGACGAATTCGCGAATTCGTACGGATCGAACACCTGACACGTGCAGGTGGAGTGCGGACCATCTCGATTTTTCTATGGACAGCAGTCGGTATAGAGACTGCTTCGAAACCTCAATCTTTCAAACGTCATCCTTGGAAGCTTCTGTAAAGGCAGTTCATGAGGCAGAACTACATGGCACAACATAAAATGATTCGTGGATAGCGTCGTATTTTACTCATTCTATTGTGTTGTGGGTATAGATCTATATATACATTAAACATGTCATGTTGACATATGTTGAGTATTTAACATCTATTAACCTACCCATGGGGCAACCACGAAAACCTGAGTTTAGCGTGGCTCTCAAGTTCTCCAAGCAGTATGTCGGAAGCTCCATGCCAAATTTGGGTCGGTGCTCCAGGTAGCTCGTTGGAGAAAGCGCATGACATGACGCTGCATGACATAGCAAAAAGAGCCTTCTTATTCTCCACAGTGCTTTAGTATCATGTCTTACAAGACAAGTCAACCTACTTCTTTCTGCAAGCACACAAACATTGAAGCCTTGTTTTCCCATTCGACACATCCTTTCGAAGCAACATGCCATGTAGGTCTACCTCCGCAGTTAGTCTGCTGTTTTGCCTTTCCCTTGTCTAAGGAGCAGACCTTCTTGAGACGGCCATGATGTTTCCATCGAACCCGATTCTGCCTTGCCTGGCCAGTAGCTTGTCAGATGGCACTGTTTGAGTGACACAGGGGTGAAATAGACCCCCCAAAGACAACCTGGGAACAAACACATCAACGGCGTAAAACTGTAAAATACCCGGTGTTTGGACTGGCTCCTTCATACATCTGCCCAAATCTGTTTCCATCTGCACATTTGTGTTGCAACCTCGTGCTGCTCGGCAAGCAAGAAGTTTTTCTCCTGGGGTCCATGAAGTCAATTTGACAACAACAAGTTATATATCCGTGCGTGACCGCAAGGTCCTTGAGGAGGACATACCAAAGCTTGTGCATATCCTGAGAGGGGCATGATATGGCATGATGACATCACACTCTTCATCCATCGGCATTCTTGACATATCGAGGTGACATCTGGCAATCAAAGCGTCCATCGAGCAGTTCACGGCTCGCCTCAAAAGACTTCTGACGCAGTAGCACTGCTGGCCATGGATCGCCAGATTTGGCCCACTCCTGGAAGTGGATCACTCTCTACCACTTCCTCAACTTCCTTCCCCACTGGCTGTGACTTGCTTGTGCGTCGACCCTCAAACAATCAAAGAAGAATGAAGAAAGTCGTGGCCGCCAGGCACCATCCTGCTTCTGCGCGGCATTGATGAGCGGATCTCGCACGCCCCCTTGCCAGAATTCCTCATGGAGGAGGCAAACACGTTTGCGGGCCTTGATTGCTTGGACACAAGGGACCAATCTTCAATCTAAAAGCGAGATAATGTTTGGTAAAACATTGTCAAGTGAGCCTAAAAACCCATAATCTTGGATGGTCAAACATCAAATCCTTCGATGAAGAGGCATCATATTCTCTGTGACCTGAAAACGACCCCACCTCGATGCCCCTTCGGGGGAGGCGCCGCAGTGCGGAAGCACAGCTACGAAGCCAGGAAGCCATGAATCACACCACCTGGCCACGTAGCAGGAACTTCAACGACAGCAGCAGCACCGATGATGCTTTTTGTTCGTTTGAACCGATCTTCCGACCACCGAAATCTTTTGCCACCTGCCATGGTGTCACTGTGTCACCCCAGATCAAGGGTTTTTGAGAACCAATAAGGATCCGTAACATCTCTATAAAACAACGACCAACTGACTACAGCTGTGACCTCTGCACACTTGAACCAAGGGTCGGTAGCTCAACAACCGAAGCCCCACAACAGAAGCCGCAACACATCCGCCCACCGACAAGCTGAATGCTTTCAAAACTGACATGACTACCTGTAAGGATAGTAGGTTGATGACGCAACCGCGAAGACCTCGCTGTCGGTCTTTAAGATCTTCCAAAACAAATGCTTCATGGTAGACGTAACAAAGGGTCCCAAACGTAACAAAGAACGCTTCACATTCTTCGGGACACAGTCGCACATTTGTGAACCCGTCTGGGACGTCTGTTTGCTTTCTAGAGTCCCCAAATCCGGTCTTGCAATGGAAAAAGCACATCTCCGGCATTTCCTGAATGCTTGCAGCGCTTTGAGGCTTAGCCTCGCACCATACTGTCCTTTGCAGCTTTCGCCCCTCACTTGGGCCATTGGCTGCGGTGGCTCACAATCTGCTCAGCACCAAGCTCCACGTAGCTGACGTTGATTCTCCAAGCCCCAAGCTAAGGCCCTGACTGAGCTCTGGGGGCCGGAACAGTCGAAGCGTGAACGAAATGATCATGTATCTTTCTCTGTACTTAAGCATACTTAAACATATATGATTAACTACTAGAAATACTTATTCCGGTTCTGAATGGATAGGACACACATCTCATCACACTTCAGCCATCTCGTCACCAGTGTCTGGTCAGTCTGCAGGCGCATGCAGCTAAGCTCTCTTTTCGTGAGGGCTTCAGTCTCCCATGACGGGTCATTGGCCTGTCGGGCCGCCGGTGTCGTCCCGGGGGCAGCGTCGCGCGAGGCCGGTGTCGTCGGATCACCACCATGATGTCGACGTGTCGCCTGTCATGTGGCCCGTGCACCATGTCGACTCAATAGATTCAATAGATGTGTCGCCTAGAAGCCTTCCGGATCGAGTTGAAGACTTTCGGAGTATGACGGAGTAATTGCCTTTCGATCAACAGTCCTCCCCTTGAAGTAAGCAAGGGAAGCCATTCTTGGGGACCAGAAAAGCTATTCTTGATTCAAAGCACTACTAATTATCATTAATTATCAAGCTGCAGTGAACACATTCTCTGAGTGCACCTGCTGCTGAAATCTGAGATGCAGGATTTGTGACCTGGCGAGCGTGCCAGCTTTGTTGCTGGATCCTCTTGCAGGCTGGATTGAAGGGAAAGACACGCCAACGGTCTCTTTTCTTGGAAACACCGCTCGCGCGTGAGTCTTTAGGTGCAACACCCTACTACGAGTAGCCAAGCTTTATTGCTTGAATTTGAAGCTGTCCGGGATCTTCAAAAGCTGCAACCGCGCATGAATAACATACATCGATGTCCCAATCCACTTGTGGGGTGAGATCCACTGCTTCAACTGGTCCCTTCGATGAGCTCCGCTCATTTTCCTACAGCTCCTCGTCCAATTTCCCCCGATAGGTGGCATCCTGGAAGGTGCCGAGCAAGTCGATGAGAAGCAAAGCAAGCAAAGGCCGTGAAGTCTGGCCGTCCTTGTAGGGCTTCTCCAAAGGCAGCTCTCCAGAATCCTCAATCTTACATTCCTGCCGTGAAAAACACCACCTTTTCAAATCCAAGAATTATACGCAACTTTTTCAAATCTCACAAGGACCCAGGTTTGCCAGAAAATGAATTCATAGGCTACATAGGCCTTTGATGATCTAAGAGGGCAAACCAAAAGCATGTCCCCTCAATATGGAAGACATGTTTACTTTTTAAACGATTGTCTTTAACATTCTTTAACCAACTTTAACCATCAGCAGTTCCGTTCGCACAGTCACAGGAGACACCTTTTCGTTTCTTCCGTTTGCTTCCAATCCCTGGGCTCCTCCTTGGGCGGGGTGCCGTTCTGACCCTCGATCTGGCGCACGAATTTCATGCCTTCCAGCACCGTCCCGAAGACCACATGCCGGCCTCACCACACCGGAGGGACGAGTCACGGAAGCGAGTCCCGTTGCTCGGTTGCGAGTGGTCTGCCGACTCATGGGCTTGTTGTCACAAGGGGGCACTCCTGAAACGAATGGGTTTCATTGGGCCCCTTCATGCCCCATTCTATCTTCTCCTAAAACGATAAGTTTGTAAGCAACTCCTGAGAAGAGGAACATGTGGGAACATGTGCCACACTGGCACTGGTGTCAAACTCCCCGGTTTCACCCACCCAAGTCTCCATCGCTTTTTCCCAAGTTCTTAATGGCTTCACCACCACACGCAGTGCACGACGCAGAAGCGCACTGCGTCAGGCGTCGCGCTTTTTCAGGGGTCCCAAGCCATCCAGGTGTGGAGTGGAAACCGTGGTGATGAAGAACTGGCTGCCATTGGTGTCCTGCATCTCCAGATTCTTGCCCCGCTTTTGGGACCCGAGACTGGAGCAATCACGAAGCCATGCACCATGAAATTGAGAAGGTGGGACCGCATTGATCGGATTGGCATCCCAAGCCCGTGATTTTGTCCATCTGTTGACTTCTTTCATCTTATTTCACTGCTCCTTGCCAGCGTTGGCCATCGAGAGAAGGCCCCCGCGCTTGTGCTTCAGCTTGAAGTTTTCGTCAGCAAACTTATCACCTTGGCAGATTCTTCAAGTTGACCTGTATGATTCGAGCCGAGTCAAACAATTCCTCGTGGTCAATCATGTTTCACAAGCCGGCGACCGTAAATAGACTTGCCCCCAGTGCCATCACCTTTGGTAAAATCGCCACCCTGAATCATGAAGTCCTGCAGCGTCACTTTTCGATCGGGTTGCGGGATTGCACGATAAGAGAACACAGGAAACACATCCATGAATATCTGAAAATTGTAGAGATAACCCATAGATAACACATACCTCACCTTTCTTTGCCTCCATGCAATGAATGCTCTCCCCAAACTTGCACAGCTTAAAGTCAATGGGTCTTCACATGCCATCGCCTGCCCAGACCGTGCCTTTTTCGCCGGTGAACAGGCAAGTCTCTGCCATTGGCCTCTTGCCATGGCTCTGAGATACTATCCACTTCAAGTGTCTTTTCTCAGATAAGCAAAATGGGTTGACCTGGGCCCAACGGCCCAACCTCACCAGGCCCAGGGCATCGAGTGGACCTTGAAAGCTTCCACCAGCCCAAGGAAGACCCTGGAGGGCCTTCCTCATTGGGGCATCCATTACAGCTTCGCAGCAAGGAACTTGTTGGCCTCAAGTCAAACACTGCCAAGGACAAGGGATGTGGAAATGGCTGTAGCCTCGCTATAGACATCCTGTTATTCTGTTATATCCTGTTTACTATATACATCCTGTTTATCACATATCTATGAACATCGGGCAACCGTGCCCAAGAACAGTGAGAAGGCAGGAGCGAGGCAGGGGTCCGTGAGTCAACGTCCAGCATAGAAGCGGTGGCAGAATTCTCGTGGACTTGGACTTTTCGTGGATGTCTCATATTCTCAGCATCCTCTCCCCGAAATCGGCCAATCTGGGCCAGCACCTGAGTTGCCGCTTGGCGCCTGGCTCTGCCTGGATGTTGCATATTGGAGACTAGATAGAACAATTGGCAAGTCTGCGATCTCAAGCCTTGGACAAGGTCGCGTGGTTCGATTCTTGGGATTCACTGAGCTGAGCGTCGAACACTTTGGGCGAACACGCCGAGCCGAGCCGAGTTCGACTCCTCGATCCTCCCTTTCTAGAAAGCTCCTGCACACTGGACCCCAACTGAAAAGCTGTCAGGAAGACGGAGTGCGATGGGATCGCAGGCTGCGTGATGCCCGTGGCGACAAAGCACTTGATGGCCACAAGAAGTGGCCGGCCAAATGGAGCAGTCGAGAGCAGCATTTCGGAGATGCCTTCTCAACGCAGAGTAAAGAGGCTCGGAGGGGTAGCATCTGAGAGAATACCAAGTTTGGCAGGTCTTTAAAGTGGTTCCTATTCATCAAAGCTGCAGGTGCAAAGTCTGTAACTTGAAGAAACAAACGCACATTTCTTTCTACCATACCACTCTCATGCAAAAAATGTGCGGACCCCACACCGGGGTATGATGAAATCGAAAAGACCCGTGACTTGAGTGGTCAAACTCCTCAGGTGCGAACTGTCTGGAGCTGCTCCGCTGCTTGCTGCACCATCTCTTCCACGATCTGCCCAGCTGGCTTGATGTCCTGACAAAAACCAAGACTTTCCACTTCAGATGGTCAACAGTGTTTCAACTTTGGGAGGGTTCCCACACATCCTCACTTCACACATCTTCACACTGGGTTCTCCGCACGTCCATTGGATTTCAACGCATTCAACCCACAACTGTGAGACCACGAATCACTACAGTGCTAGAGTGAGGACACCTCCCAAAACACCTCCTACTGGCAGCACACACACACACACACACGTCTTCCGCAATGCACCGTGCACAGCGCGTGAAAAGCACTTCATTGTGGCATCGGCCATTTTTGTTTGGTGCGACACTTGAAACCAGGGGCGTGGGCCCAAACCCGCGCGGCGGGAGGCAGTCTGCTTCCACCAACCTCGTACAGTTGTGTCGGACTAGGCCTAGGCACTTGCGCGGGAACCAGTTTTCAAACCACAGCTCAAGGGACGCCGGGGTTTGGTCTTCGCATCACAGCGCTCGAACATGAACGCCATGGTTTGGGCAAATACATCTGCACCGTCATGCTCTAAAGCTCAAATGTCGAATCTCTCCTTCTGCCACTGCGTGCCGCCCAACATGAAGGAACAGCAAAATATAGTTATAACATGTTATAACTTATATAACATACTTATAACTTATAACTATATTATATATATAGTTCTATAGAAGGATGCAAAGCGCTGACAAACTGCTTTCTTGCACACAAGCTGAAACTGTGCAGCTGGGGATCACCACGACCCAAAGCGCCTTGGCGCCCCACAAAACGCCGACAACAGGGCTACCATCCTGCGAAACTGAAGAGCATGCGCAGAAGACCCCCCCAACACCCTAAACTCTGTGCAAGTGCCACTTCAAAGCTCAAAGGTAACCAAGCGAAGCTGACCGGCACCAATTTATTCGCAGGAGAGCATGCCTCCAAATCAAAGCTTATGGGCACCCATGCCCCCAACCCTACCAACCAGTGTAGCTCGTTGTGGCGGCCCCACACCAGCCATTGTGCCTACACTGACAGAACCCAGACCCTGCAACAGGTAACCAGTATGCAACGTAGCATCCGGCCGCCACAAGCGACCAAACAAGCATCCTCTTCACCCAGCATAGTTGCACCATGCGCGATTCCACGTGTAATCACATGTAATTACAGTTCATGGACAGTTCAGGGCCACCAGTTCAGCTGATAGGTGCCGAAGCGCGGACGAAGAGTCTAGCTGTCCGACCCTGAGAAGTCTAGCTGCATGGAGACTTTCAGAGTCCTTGTCACTAACGTCTTCGAAGCTTCAGACTCTTCAAATGCACAAGGACACAAGGACGCCACAAGGACACGAATCTACAAGCTGTGCTTGTGCACCACAGATTCCATCTGTACCAGAAGCAGACTCGCCTGGGACCACCCACTTGCAACAGCAGCACGATGTGCCCTTTGACAAACCAGCGCCCGAATGCGATCTCGCTACGGTACAGGACCAAGCAATCACTGACAATAAATCAACGTATAAACTTTAAACCAGCAACAAAAAAAAGACATTTCACCCAGGCTGTCACAGCCTTCCGTAGATGGAGAAGGACTGATAGGGACACTGTCACAGATCCACGCTTCCACACTGCCACCAATGGTGAGCTCAAAGTTCAATCAAAGCCGACAACGCCAAACCACTGTCGCTTGCAGCAGTGCACACTGCCCAAGTGCGTCTTCCCAGTGTCCATGAAGATCCTCAAGAATCCCAACCAGCTGTGTATCAAGCCTTTGCTGATTTGAAGCTTGAGATCTCGCAACCGAAAACCCCACGCCGAACGCCCGCGGCAAGGTGATTTTCCGTGTCTGGCGACAAAGTCGAAGGCACGCATCGAGAGTCCGACAAGGTCGCAGCATCTGCCAACCAGGTAGTTTGCGCCGAAACCCAGCCCACGGAACCCGAAACCCACTGCAACGGCACACGCCGACGTGCACCTTCGCTCTTGCAGAACAAACCGCTGATGGCAACTGCTTCTTTCAGAAGCAATGCTTTTTCAAGCCGCTTTGCCGGGCAGTTCCGCTGTAAAGTGGGTAAGTGGGTGTCTTTATGACCATCTTTCATCAACCTCTTATAAAGCCTCTTCCGTTTTGTTGACTGACCTACTTTCTAGGTGTTCCTCTTTCGCCACTGCTCCACTGGCCGAACACGGTCCTCAATGGCACCGGCGCACTGACCAGACAGGTAGACGCCACGCTCACGCGTCTGTTTCCGAGAGAGCCTGTGAGGCGGTGTTCCGCAAGCGAAGGAGCTGGGGCGACTCTGCATGACTCTGCTGTCCAACTCATTGTCCCACTATATGTTTAACATTGTTTAACCTACCTGGAAGCTTGGACATCCAAAGGGATGTACACATTGACTGGTCGTACTGGGCTTCCGAAGACTGGCCATTACTTTCGTTTGTGCAATTTCAGGCTGCATGACAAGCTGCTGCACTCCTTTATTCTTCTCCTGCATCATTCATATGACAAGCAGGCAGCAGGAAACATAATGAAGGCAACACACGAAACAAACCAACTATGAGTGTCTGCCAGCATGTTGCGAGTACCATTGCAATCCAATGGCGCTTGTTGGAATATGTTTGGAATTTGCTTGCTTGTGAAAACAAGGTCCTCCTGCGTGAGAACTTCTGCCATTTGCAGGGTGCCGACACTGAAGCCGCCCTCGGTAAGGCTGCTGATGTCGTCCACATCTTTCACGAAGGCTGGGATGCCTTGCTCCTGCCAAGCAAGACAACACCAAGGGCTCGAGTTCAAGCAGATTCTGTGTTTCAGGAACAGTCGAACCACATGATCCAATCAAGATCGAACCGCATGACAGTCAATCCAGCAAATTGCTTTTGTGTCCTGCAACTGCAACATCTCTTTGGTACGATTTTGCTCCCAGTCTTGGACGTATGGGGTGGTCAAAACTCCTTGGACGATCACTGCAGTGATGGATCAACATCGCAGGAGCCACTGGAAGGTGCACACGGGTTGCGTTAAAATTTGCCTGTCAAACCTTAAATTCTACCTTAAATTCTGCTGGATGAGTCATACCTTTTTGAGTCCGGGGAAAAGGGAGTTATTTTTGCACGGGCTCCCTATTTTTTTCAGTCTCTCGTTACACAAGCAAAGCTCCTTTTCGGTAAGTCCAAGCGTCGCATGGGGCGCCCTGTGTAGATCTCGGTGGTCGCCGTATCATTAAAAAAGGCGCTGAGGACCCTCTGCTTATGGAATGGCCCAGCGCCAGCTTCATCAGAAGCAATGAAGCCTTGGACTAGAAACATGTAAAACCAAAGCTTCCAAGCTTTGAGCAAACAGGCACTACTAGGAGCAAGGACGCTACTAGGGGCTCCTGGCATTGCTACTAGGAGCAAGGAAGCTTTGAGCAAACAGGCTAACAGGTTCAAACGAGTCAAAACGGCCATGCAAATGGTGCGAGAGTCGTCGAGGCCGTTTGGGGAGCCGTTTGATTGAAGAACATGTAACGTCAAAAACAACCCGCCAGCCGCCAGCTCTTTGAATGTTCGCCGGCGGTGGGTTGCTGAGCTGCAGGTCGAATGATTCGGCGAATTTAAGTCCCATCATCGAAGATTCCAACAATTTTAATCAAATAATCCAACGCTTCTTTTGTCATCCGAACACATCTTCTCCACCACAAATAACTCAAAAAAACACCAACGCCGCCCCAAACTCAAAGGAAGCTGGCTCCCGGCTCCCAAACGAGCGCGAGCACTCCCGTTTGGCCCAGTGGCGTGTGCCAACCCACACGCCGCTGCAGCCCATGGCCAAACAGGCCGCCAGGCCACGCCCATCGAAGATGCCGCCGGCACCAACCTGGACCGGGACTGGGACTGCTGACCGGAGCGACGCCAAAAAAAACACGAGATGTGGGCGGGGTTCCCGGTTCGCAAGGAGTGCACGGACGGAGTTTTCTTTGTCCAAATCCACACTTGAGTTCGGAGGTGGTAGTTACAGAAACCAATTGCTTTACACTCCCAGAAACAATCACGGAAGTGGAACAGGTCGGCCCCTGGAAGACCATGAGCTCCTCTCCAAGTACAAGGTGGGTCTACTCAGCTTCCACTTTCTTGTCTGAGGGAGGAGACATTTATTTATAACATGTATCCCTTCCGCATCCTTCTGCGCCCTACTTTTCACCGCCCTCGGATTCTGCTAAGCCCGTCTGCTATAGGCCTCCGGGGTCTAAGGCTCCGGCGACTTGAACAGGCTTTCCTGTCAGTGGTGACATTTTCCCACGTACAGCATCCACCACTTTCGGCAGCAGGATCGCAGTCGCAGTATCACCTTGCGGAGTTGTGAGGGCAAAAGATGGCAAAAGCACCAGCTGAGATCCATATGGGGCCCGCGGTGTCCACGTGGTCCCAGGCTGGTTTGTACTACATGAAGATTCAGAAGAAACACACTCTGACGACCAACAACAGTCCTTGTCGTCAATCAGAATGGCAGCTGCAAGTTTCATTCGAGCACAACATTATTTGCACAAAGCTCGTCTGTCTTTTTGCGATCTTTTGCGGAGTTGATGTATGATTGTTTCGTAAGGTACAACCTATACCTTCAACTCACTGACCCAAGAGTCGTCTTTTCTATCCAGGGCCGGTAGCCTTGTGAGCTTGTGGATCAATAAGAGAGTCATTAATGATCCATTAATAGTCCCGTTCCAAGGGGAACCGCCAACCATCCAGGCGGGAAATTCGTGAACTTTCAATGGGTTTTCAGTCGCACTTAGTATACACCAACCTGGGGTTGCTGATGGTTGGGATCTGCATAGATGTGAAAAACTCACCTTGCAAATTTGTGGATTTCCACTAGCCTCAATGCGAATCACGCACCCAGTGAATCAAAGGGTTGAGACATGTTGGCCCCCCTTTTGAGACATGTTGGCCCCCTTGTCTCATCTTTCTCCCAACACCTCACCTGTGTGGCCACCTCCTTCGCCTCCCTGTGCACAAATGATGTCAACGCCCGACTCCAACGCTTTCTCCACATGCTTCACAGCACCAATCATGTTCATCACCTCAGCCCGCCAAAAGCCACGTGCAGAAGGATCGAAACTATCAGCCACTGTCGTTTTTGCATTCGTTGGTATAACATTCACAGACTGAGTCTGAAGAAAACGGTCAGAAGGTAGAACAGTCTGAAGAAACCTCTGAGGGCTTCTTCTCTGCGATGATCTGCTAGCTGCTAGCGGTTTGGGCACCGACTTCCGGCCCCGGCCGAGCTGCTGGAATTCCGGCTGCGTGGAACTTGTCCACCGCCCACTTGGGTGGGACACCCACAGCGCAAATAAACAGCGCAGCCTCCGTACACGGGGTGACACTGAAGTAGAAAGAACACACCGAGCTCACGTTTGAAAGAACCGAACTCCACCATGAACAATGACTCACGTAGACCGGATACAGTAATTAGGTGAATCTGGCATCAGTATATTGCAGCAATCTTGCATCCCTCTTTTCATGGAATCAAGTATGTGTCCCAGAGAACCCCAAAGCACAAAGCAATACCAGCACACATCTTTGGACATTTATCTAAATATATGTGAAGTGGACTATGCCATTCGTTCCTTTGATTCAGCCAACCAGCCTTCTCTTCAATGATGATGTCAACCAGCTCTGGCAATGTTCCTGCAGTGTAATCCTTGTTGGTCTTCCTTGCGTTTCCACCCACCTGCCACGCAGGCAGACCAGCCCACACACTCACACGCAGGGCATCGTGTAGGATATGTTGTGCATTTTTGTGCACACTGTCACACTTGTAGCACCTGAGGGAGCAGCAAGTCCACTCCAAAAGGTGCATTCTTGTCCACCAACTCCTGTGGCGTGCACCGTGCCCGTGCCGCGTGCACCGGTGCGGAACCAAACCGGCATTGCCGACCACTGGATCAACTGACTGGACAGGGGATCATCTGCGCACACAGATCAGGATCATCTGCGCACACAGGGCACATGGGGTGGGGTGAGGTGGGGTGGGGTGGGGCTAATGACGTTCACTTCGACTATATCTAATTAATATCCCAATGTTGAAGTAAGGGTGCGGTGGTGGGGTGGGGTGGGTTGGGGTGGGGAGGGGTGGGGCTCACACACATCTGAGCACCCGGCCTTTGCACCTGCCGTAAGAACCCAAAGTATGGCCACACTGTTTAGGCACCCCACATACGGAAGCCGCGTGTACAGACGATGCGATTTCCGCGTGTACAAATGAACCCCTGTCCAACTGACTCGTGGGACAGGCAGAAAATCCGCGGTCTGATCGGAATCATGAACAAATCTTTAGTCTGTGGGACCAAACCGACAAACGGTTAGAAATAAGGCTTGACATGGCTTGGCCTAGAAATAAGCTGTGACCGTCAGAAGTTCCGTTTTCGGTTTTTGGGCCGCGAGCAAGCGAGGCGGTCCTTCTTCAGCATCTTAATGGTTTTCCGCAAGCCGTCTGGCGTAAATCCAACACCACCTGCGAGGCGAAGCTGTGTGGGACCATTAATTCAACCGATGAAACGGCATGACCGGTCTTCTGCAAAGGAGATATCTCCAAGTGAAGCAAAGAATGACACGGAGCAAAGAATGAAGTCAGTGCTTCGTTGGTCGCTTAAAAAGCGTCTTAAAGCATCTTAAAGCCACAAATGATACAAATGCACCCAGTAAAAACTCAAGGTGACAAGTGTGACAAGAACACCACGGTCACAGGAATTCAAGATCACCAGGATTCACGTGGCCATGGGATAGTGTTTTTGCTAGGCAGGATTGTACTCGAACATTGACATCGATGCATTTGCCTTTAGGAATGCCACACGCGACAAACTACAAAAGCTACGGTCATAGCTGAGCTATATGTCTAAGTATGATTCTGCTGTATGCTTTTGAGACACTTAAAAACCTCACTCAATTACTCACTCAACATCACTCCTCCCCGTCCAAAGTGGCTTCGTCCTCCCTCCTCGTCCTTTCGCCAAGTGGCCAATGTTTCCCAAGCCACCTGCATTGGAGACAGCAGCCGCCAGCTCAGGGCCAGCTGCACCAGCCTCGATCGCGGACGCAGACGCACAGCTCGGTGGGGTGAAGGGTTCGGACGCACCAGGTGGTTGGTTGACTCTCACCTTCCCACAAGGTCAGGTGGATCATGGTGCATATTCAGTGGACCTGTTTTCTGCACTGATCGTCATTTTTGGAGCTTGGGTCAATTGCTTCAGTGGGATGTTGATTCGAAGCAAACGGGTTCAAGAACCGACGGCTTGAGCTGGGCGAAGACAACTCCCCAGCCGGCGTGCTGCTGGGCACAAGCACCAAATCGAATTCAATATTGACACCAAGTACCAAAGGTCACTGTCCAGTGCCTTTCGAGCAGTCAGGATCCACAAAGTTCTGCTACTTCTGCTACTAGCTCTGTTTTTCACGCCGAGCAACCATTCCTGCCAACATCACAGGATGCTTGATCTTGAAAAGTTCGGTCAAAGGAGTTGTCAGCGCCATGTGTCGGTCGTTTGCAGATCGCTCCGTGTCGGTGTGATGGACTCTGGGGAAACGGCTGCGGAAGGCATCATGACATCATCGGCTTAGTCTGTCTCTGCACAGGGCGACTCACTCCATGTCTGTCTCACAGGGCCTTTTCTCTTTTATCAGGGTGAGACTGTGAGACTGCATGTAGTATTGTGACATATATTGTGAACCTACATTGGTGGGAATCGATCTGAGTGCGGACCAAAACGCCCAAACCGGTCCTTGATGACACGGTGGAACTTGGAGCTTTTGTATCCAAAACCCTTCTCGCCAGTACACAATGCTCCTGTCACGGCGGACAGGCGACTTCTTCCGACTTCAAGCTGTTGCGAAGAAGCATGGATATTAAGTGCAGCACGGAAGTTCTCCACAGTCTTTGGCACCTGTTTGAGGAGAAATATGAATACAACATGTGTTTCAAAGTATTTCAATATCCTTTGGCTAATTGCTTGATTGAAGTTCATCGAACCGTTAACTGGACCAGCTTGCTTTGGTGTTGAAAGCTGGGTGTTCACTCCAGAAACTGAAGGTGAATCGAGCTTCCTTTGACCCATTGTTAGCCTTCTTGCCATAGAGGCCCATGACAATTCGCCCCGCAGGCTTTCCTCCAATGGAGACATCGAAATAGACCTGCACACCAGCGTCGACATGTCCTTGGGATTGGGACGATGCAAACATATGCAAACACCGTCCCAATACGTAATATTTTGCCCGACTTGTAATCCCATATCCAAACATAACATATGTTTGGCAAAAATCCAAACACTGAGACCAAAAACCCGCCTTATTCGTAATCATTGGGCCTTTGACATCTTCTCCTGTAGAGGTAGTGTTGCTTGATGTCGTCGTGCGCTGTCGTGAGGTTTGCTTTGGCAAAAGCAAGTCTGATGATAGCCAAACCACCCTCCAAAATGTTAAACAAGTAGGCTAGTTAGGTAATTGACACAAACCCCAAACCCTGAGTGCATCCATGTGTTACTGTCACTATCGGAGTCCGAGAGATATACCCTCACACAAATGACACAGGCCTTCTTCTGCAGTGGCCAAAGCAAAGAGCAGCGCCCATAGGGCACCAAGCCTCCAAATGAACTGTCAGGTTGAAGAGTTTGACGGGCATTTTTTCCAAACTCAAACTTTAGCATGTTAGGCAACAATATGCAACAATTTGATGAACATCATGGCAACCTAAATAAGTGTAACAGGAATCCAGGAAACTATGAAACCATCAAGCGCACCTAGAACCCATATTTTATGAAGAGAAAACGTTTGTCAAGTGCATTCCTGCTTCCATGTGGGTATATATATATATGTGGAGAGAGAGAGAGAGAGAAAGAAAGAGCAAATTTTGGTAGGGATGTAAAATTTGCCTTTCAGATGCTTAAACAACATCGTATTTTACAGTGTTTCATGTATGCAATAGGCTCGGCCACGCAGTAAAACGTACATTTTTGTTGGACTATACAGTCTTTTTACAACAATATCTTTCGTTGCTGCGATTGGCTATTCAAAAGGTATCCTTTAAAACATTCCTTCACATTGTAGGAACCCACTATCATTCGTGGAACCTACGCCTACATGAAAACATTCTCTCTTATCCAACACTCTTTGTATCACACACTGCTGTTTCTCCTTTCTAGACTGCTCATTTGATCAAATCCCACCTTGTCCAGAACCCCCTTCTCTATTTTACGATGCTTATGCGTCACTTTGACTGTAAACATGCACCTAAATATATATACCCAGAACTTCCAACGTCGAAGTTTAACTTAGCCAATGAGAAACGTCGAAGTTAAACTTGTACACCTCAGTGCGTCTAAGTTTTACTCATGTTAGTTGTCTTAGACAGAACAGACTCCGCAGAACGACGAAGTTTAACCTGGTTAAACATAGACAGAAACAACGTCGAAGTTAAACTTAGCCTTTGAAGATTAGGGTATATATACACATATATAATAACATTATATTCTATTATATATGTATGTATATGAGCACGGTGTCTTCCATTAAGGAGGACACAAAATTTTCATAGTACAAACGGTTGCGCATGTTGTTCCTTACAATGATCACAGCTGTTGAAGTTGGTTGGTGTCAGAAATCTGTGTTCTGCAAACGTTTCATCAGCAACCTATCAAGGAAGGGAAGAGCCACCGTTCAGCTTACTCTTCTGATCCCTCAGTTAAGGAGTAGATGTTGGTCCTTCGGAGAAAACCAACACAAAAATCACAGAAATCAGGACGCCATTAATTTGCTTTCCCAAAATCGCATTCCTAACAGGTGCAAGCCTTGCTTTCTTTTGAGACCACCCTTCGGGATTCCTGTGAAATTTAGCATAAAGTTTACCTGGCTAAGCAGCAACGTGAAGAATCCTTTGTCTCCAAGTGTTCGCAAACACGTGCATGAGTGCTGAAAATATTTGATTGCCAAAGCGACAGTGATTTATACACGGACCGTTGACCGTGCAAACTCCCTTTTGAAACGCCAAGAAAGACTTGGAAGGAAAGTTGTAATTTGAGGGTTTGTCGAACAACACCCAAGTGATTTTGTTTCAACGACTTCCGGTATGACAATGTCCAAGCATGATTTTGCGCCTTTCGTTTCTGAAGTTTTAGCTGATGGTACAGGCGCTGTGAAGAAAACCCCTGGACTTGGCAAAGGGAAGAGTAAGAACAAGGGTAGAGTTGCTCTGTCTCAAAAACCCAAAAAGGACATGGAAAATGCAAGTCTTGCTCTTACAGTCTTACAGTTTTCAGCATGGTCCACATGAGGATCCATGCCTCTTAAGCAACACTCGGGCTCCATTTTCCCCAGATAGCTGCAGGCTATAGGGGTTCCAACTTCTCAATGGTGTGGTTCTGGATCGGCCGTTTGGTTTTGTGGGTGCTGTGCAGGTGCAGCTGGCTCTGGATCGGCGTTTTGGTTTTGCAGGTGCTGCTGCCGTGCTGATGCAGGAGCAGGTGCTGGCTCTGGATGGGCTTTTTGGTTTTGCAGGTGCTGCTGCCGTGCGGATGCTGGTGCAGGTGTTGCTGGTGCAGGTTCAGATGCTGGCTCTGGATCGGCGTTTTGGCTTTGCAGGTGCTGCAGCCATGCTGTTGCTGGTGCAGGTGCAGGCTCTGGATCGGCGTTTTGGCTTTGAAGGCGCTGCTGCCGTGCTGGCGCAAATACAGGAGCTGGCTCTGGATCTGCATTTTGGCTTTGCCGGCGCTGCTGCCGTGCTGGTGGTGGTGCTGGATTGTCGTTTTGTTTTGCTTCTGCTGGTGCCTTGCTGGTGCTGGCACAGGGGCTGGCTCTGGATCGGCGTTTCGTCTTGCTGGTGCTGCAGCCGTGCTGGCGCTGGTGCTGGGTCGACGATGACGTCATGTCCTGCCAGGGATGACATCATGTCATGCCCAGAATGGCATCACATTATGCCAGGGATGGCATCATCATGCCAGGGGTGACTTCATGTTCTGCCAGGGCACGTCATGCCCAGAATGCAATCATGTCACGGCAGGGATGACATCATGTCATGCCAGGGGTGACATGCTGTCATATTGTGCGTGACACCGTGTTGTGCAGCAATAATCATCATGTCGTGTGGGCAGCTTTGGCTGGTCCTTGCCGATCTTACAGTTCTACGTCTGTGTTGAGCAAAGCGGGCACATTCAGCTGATAGATGTTGCGCATATTGGTGGTCTGGTCTGATGTTGCGTGCTGCGGTGACAGCCGTCCGTGGCGTGTCCTTTAAACCTATGCACCCGCTATCTGGGGTCTATGCCGGTGTAATTCACTTTGGTCGGAAAGGAAAAGGCAAAGGCGGAAAGGTTGGAAGCGCAACCAAAGGTAAAGGACATGGCAAGGGAATTTGCAAGTGAACCCAGAATTGACTCTGCAGCATTTCTTGCGCTTGATCAGGGGATGCCAGTTGCCGAATGGTCCTTTGCGATGTAGTCTTGATGATGGGGTGAACATGTATTCTCCGGTGAGCAAGAGTGTTTCAGTTCCCCTTTCGGGGTGAAATTCCTTGGGCCTTTGGGTTTGTTTTGAGAATGCATGTATGAGCAAACGACTGCCTCGGACCACCTTCTTTGGATGTTGTATATACCTTCTAGCTTTCTTCAGCGCGAGGGTAAGATTCGTTGGATGCATGTTTTTGACAACAAGTGATGGGAACTGCGAAACAGTGGTCCCACACTATCCGCGCGCTGCTCACAACGGGTGAATGCATGACGGCATGCGCTCACTCCAGGAGTTGTTTGTGTGACAAAAGAAGCCTCGCTTCCAACTTGCTGCTGCGTGCGCCGATGAGGACTTTGGCTTTGCTTGGGTCAAAAGACATGAGCTGAAGGTTGCTGCACCGAACTAGATGGACATGCCGCAATAAATATCATCACAGCACCGCCACAAAACTTGTTGCGGAGTATGTGCCAGCATGTCAGTCTGTTGGTGAAAAGCAAGGTGATGACAAAATCACTGTGGTTTTGCTGTCTTTTATGCAAACATGTTTGTAGAAACTTTGAAAATACATGTCGCTCCCGGGGGATCACTGTGGTTGCGGATCACCTCCTCTGCTCCAAAAGAATTCATAAACCAAGCCATGTGGTGGATTGGCATGAGCCGAAACAGCACTGAGTCTGAGCGGCCGAACCACAAGGTTATTTCTTTGCTGGCCTGTGAGTGTTCTCTGGACTGTTCTGGCGGCCAGAGTTGACACTCTGGCGGTACTTCGGCGTTGTGAGCAGCTTTCTGATGGAACTTTCAAGTTGGCCACGGAAAACTTTGCGGCAAACAAAAAGATCAGCAAACATTTGGCTTTACTGCAGGTTCAAACATTTCATCATAGATGTTTCGCGGAACAGCTCCAGGAATTTTGTGACAAGTTGAAGTGTTTGACAATGTGCCGCCGTACAAAACAACCATGCCCCACTGGACCTGAAACCGTTCAAGAGCCCTGGCAAGAAAAAGGAGGCCGGACATTCGTCTACATGTCAAAGATATTACACAATGGCGACCTTTGCTACCAAGCCCGGCCCATTGCCCACCCTGAGAGTGTTCACTTTACTTGGCCGACGCGTTTAATGATTTGAAAGCCGGCAGAAAAACCTGGCGCCAGCCAAGAGCCTGAAAAGAACATCAACATGGAAAACCGGAAAAAGAACAACTATATTCCATAAGTTTCGGGGGACGGCAGCAGAGAGTCCCAGAATATGTGTTTTGTATATCAACATAATATACATAAATTGTCTTGAATATTATTATTTTTTGGTGTGGTTGTTTTGTTTGTTTCCAGTGGGAGGTAGATACAGGTGATGCTTGCATTTTCTGTTGCAGTTTTCACATTTTTGAAGTGGGCAGCAGATGCAAGTGATGACAACATACGCTTTATTAGGGGTGTGGCACATGGACATGCAACATATACGCACTGTAATTTCTAACATTTTATGCATGTTAATTGTAGAACCAGTCAACGACAGGTTCACGGCGCACGTTTTCGCCTCATGCGTAGCAGCTATATGGCTTAGGCCTAGAAGGCCGCGGAAAAGAGTGCAACTTCCACGAATCCGTCACTGAGACATGCGTCATGGTTTCACAGCTGATCTCCTCTCTTTGTGGATCAGCGACGGATGCGTGCTGAAGCAACTAATGAGCTTCGATGCACAAGTGCCGAGACTGGCACGAAGGTTCTTCAAATCTCGCATGTCAATGCCTTCTTCAAGGCTTCGCCAGGTCAAGGCGTGAGCTCCCTCTAGACAGGCAAAGGTGAACCTGTACGGAAGTGAGTCCACTTTGAAGCGGGGCTCGGGAGAACGAAAGGAGCGGGCATTCGAGCAAACATGCACTGCCAAGTCTTCTGAAATTCTGTGCCAACCTGGCTGGGTGCTTAACTTCATCACATGCCCATATATAGGGCTGGTGCTCTCAAAAGGGGTGCCCAAATCACTACGAACATCATCATGAACTACCTTTTTGGCAGCCTTCCCCTTGGAGCTTTGCTTCACAAAGCTTGGAGAATATCGGATGCTCCAGCGACAGGCATCGAGGATCCGCAAAAGGTGGGCGGAATCCATGTCCTTCGTTCCGCAATCCACGAAGAGGTTCTCGGTGGATGTCCAACGCAACATCGTGTTGCACCGGGCCAGCATGGACCTGATCCAAGCCACTGTGAAGGCAAGTGACTTCTGCGACCCATACGACGGGGTTGAGCTCGACCCTTTGTCGTAGGCATCCTTGGAGTCGGTGACAACCACCATGGAGATGGAATCTGTGCTCACCTCGAAGGGCTTCTTATCCAAGGCATAGCCATGGGCCTCAGCTAGCACTCCTCTGCAATACTGTCCTGCATCCATGGCCTCCTCAATGCCGAGCAATTCAGCGGCAAAGGTTGATCTACAAACTCTTTGAAGCCTGTGCGATCGAGCGTCGAGGATCGCAAACTGTCCTTCATTGCCATCAAGGAGTTGGCGGTCTGCCAGGAGGACATAGTATGAGGCTTGGCTGTAGACTTTCTGGAGGCTTTCAGCTTGGGAACTCCCGGCCTTCGTCATGTTTCCCAGAGAAGCGTCAGAAACGACGACGATGCCACTGTCCTTGAGGGTCATGGGTTTGAACTTCAGCGCAAAGGTGGGATTCTCTTTCACCTTTCTCACAAGCAAATTTGCCCTCAAGAGAGTTCCAATTGTAGGGCTCGCTGATTCGCCCTGCAAGCTTGACAGCTGGAAGGCAACATCATAGCGGATCTGGGCCACCAACCACTGAAGGGAGCCAAGGACTGCCCGCAGTTGCTTGTGTTCTGAAGGATGTAGCGCAGCATCTGGTGTCTTCTTTCGATCTGGAGATATCTTCACCTGCTGCAAGTTCGAGTGATACTCCTCCATGGACACGGAGATGGTGCCATCATCGAGCTGCTCTATCTTTTTGCCACAGTAGACAAAGGACTTGTTGGAGATGGATCCAAAGCCCAGTTCTTGACCCAGAGATTCTAGGGTCTTTTGAGCACGCTCATTGCCACCCATCAAGAGGTCATCCACGTGGGACAACATGATGCCTTCCAACTCGGAGCCATCTTCACTCCATAGCATCCACATGGCGCTGTCTAGCACCGAGATCTTCCAGCCCCGTTTGACCACCGCCTTGTTGAGCCGCTGGTACCATCGGCGCGGACTATCTGCCAAGCCGAAGATGCCTTTCTTGACCCTGCATAGGCCATGAGGTGAGAAGGGTAAGGTGGATTCATCAGCATACTTGGTCCGGATGTTGGCCAAGTAAAGGATCCTTTCTTCAGGCCCAAACTCTTCACCCTTGAGAAAGGCAGACTTGATGTCAGCTGACCACAAACTCCACTTGCTTGAAGCCGTGTAGGCCAGGAGCAAATGCTGACTTGTCCTTGACGCTGTTGGGGCGTCACATCTGATGCCATAGGCCGATATGTCCTGGTACCCGGGGACTACCAGGCGAGCGTTCGCCAGCAAGGGAAGCTGATTGGTCTCCGTCCGAAGGCCGTCATTCTTGTCCACCATCACATAACGAGGGACCAAGATGCGGTGACTTTGGTTCTCAGCTCTCAGTCGCGCACGAATGCGCCCTGCTTCATCATCTGGAAGGATCTCGACTGCGTCATTGTCTGTCCAGACTTGCCAGCCTTTGAGGGCGGCTGCACGGAATTCCTTTTTCTCACACTCTGTCAAAGAGTTCCATGACTTTTCCTTCCTGGCCGTGAGGACGGCGAGGACTTCAGAAGCAGCTTCGTGGTTGCCAAGCGGCCAAGTCTGACCAAGAAGCTTCATTCTCTGCCAGGTTGTCCTTGAAGGGAGTGGCCAATCACCACGCCAAGTGCCATGATCTAGCACTTTGCTTCCGAGAGGATCGCGACGATCCATAGCAGCCAAGGCTTGTAGTTGTCTAAGAGGATGGAGTTCCGCTTTCGCTTGTAGTTCCATCACCTCATAAGGCAAAGCGGTCACATTCAGCACTTCACTGGACTGAGGAGCAGTGACTGAAGTCGCCGGAGGTGGAATCTCATCAGCCTCTTGCACTTCTTCCCGAAGTTGTTCAGCATCAAGCTCAGCCGAGCGTTTATTGCCAGCTTCTGGAACAGGAACTTCGGTTGCTCGTTCTTGTGCTTGGAGCAGTGCTTTCTGAAGAGTTTGCGGAAACGGAGACTGAGATAGGTCAAAGCTCGGTCTCATCACTGAAGAGCTCCTTCTGGTACTCGATCCAAAAGCTCCTTCAGCTCCTGGTGCCAAGGCTCTAGACATTCCAGCCACCATCTCTTGCGGTTGAAGAGGAGGAAGATCATGTGGAGCTGCGGACGAAGGTAATCCTTGAGCTTGAGGGATCACTGGAGTATCAGGTTCGAACACCTCCTGAGGTTGCCCTTCACGACGTGCTTGTTCTGGTACTGCAGGTTCGGAATCTCGAACTTCAGAGTTCCCGGACTGGTCGTGGCAAGCTGCCTCAATCACTTCTTGAATGGCATCTTCCCAGACAGAGGTGGCCACTTGTTCCATAGTACTCGCAGCCCTCAAGTGTTCTAGGGCGCACTTTGTCAATTGGCCCCGATAGCTCACGAAGCCGTTCGTGTGGCCCTCCAAAGCAATGAGAAGAGCTGGTCCATGCCATCGTCGAAGACTGAGGCGCTTCTTGGAACCTGATGTCTTGTTGTTGTAGCGAGTCTGCCTGTAGAAGTAGACTATCTGCCCAGGTTGAAGGTTGTGCTCAATGGTGGATGTTCTCGATCTGGCTGTTTCGGCCCGTCGAAGACCTTTGGAGAAGTGCATTCTCAACATAGCAATCCGGGCTGACTCTCTGATGGCCACTTGTCGAGCCAGGCTGGGCTTTGACTCGATTAGCCCGTGCTCGCTCAACCTTCTTCCAAAGTCGCCAAGGGTGTCACCATGGAGACGAGGCTGACGGCCAAAAGCGGCCTGATTGGGCGTGACACCGGCATCAGTCATGTCGCTGTTGTAAGCGGCTACAGCCTCTTGAATGCACACGTCCATGTCATCTCGTGTGCTCACTGAATGTGATTTCACCAAAGCCTTGATGATGCCCTTGAGAATGGAGCCACCACGTTCAGCGATTCCATTTTGCCATGGAGCTTGAACTGCTGTGTGGTGCAAGTAGATGGAATGTCCACTGCAGTACTCTTCAAAGACATGAGGAACAAACTCTCTTCCTTGATCCGCCACCAGGGTGCGCGGTGCGCCAAGAACTGGAAGCCACCTTGTGGACAGGAAGCGAGCGACCATGTCTGAGGATTTCTGGTCCACCAGTTCGGCCATTTGAAGCCGCGACACGAAGTCAACTGCATGAACCACATAGTAACGGCGCTCTTGGAGAGCAAAGACCTCGAAGATGTCGATGAACACCTGGTCGCCAACATCTTTTGGCGTAGGCAAACTGGTAGGTCTCCTCGCCTTGGGAGCACGCTGCTCATCACAAATGGAGCAACGTAGGTGTAAGGCTCCTCTCACCACATCTGCTGGCGCACCCGCAATGGCCAATGCTCTGGCTAAACGTTTTCCAGAACGGTGACCAGTGTTCTCGTGCAACCTTTTGAGCGCTAGCTTCACTCCAGCTGGAAGTTTGGCATCTCCTTTAGGTTCAGGAGGATCTGGAAGCTCTGCTTCTGAATCGCTGTCATCGAGTGCAGCGGGGTAGTGTTCAGCTTCTCCTTCTTCAACAGCTAAGGTGGAGTGAGGTGATCCAGGCATATTGCCAGGGTGAGGCCTTTTGAAATCGGCTTCAAACTGCTTTTCCATTCCCTTCACGAGAGTCTTGGCGAGCTCCCATGGATAGTGACCGGAAGGCCTTGAGATGTGTGTTCCACCAATGATGTGCTCGTGGTTGTGGTTTCCCAAACACTTCATGCCATCTAAGGTCTGGACGATATAGTCGCTCGAAGTAGCCAAGCGAGTTGCTTTGCGGACCAACTGTCCATTGCGTCCTCGAAGGCCAAAGCGACATTGATGGAAGTCTACCAAACGAGCTTGCAAGGCAGACAGGGCTTTTTGCATCTCATCCAAAGACCATGCTCTGGAGCTTTGAGGATTCTCCAGAACGAAGTGCAAACCACGGGCATGTTGATCACGAGCCAGCTGTATAGCAAAGCGGAGCAACTGCATCGCTTCTTTCAGCCTTCTCTCATGATCCTTCGGAGGATTCAGGTTCAGGAGGATGCTCCAAAAACTGCAAGGGAAGGCAATCACCAGGAAATAGGGGATCTCCTTAGACAAAAGCTTTCGAGCCACCTCGCGGTCATGACTCCGCAAGAAATTCCAGCCCGTTTCCAATGACAAAGGTGATCCGGTGACGTGCCCACGTTGCTGTGCAGCTTTGGTGACTCTCTGAGTCGTGGTGTAGATCTCACTCATGAAGGTCTTTGGCTTCACGAACTTTCCGGAGTCATTCTTGAACTTGTTGACATTCGGTGTGAGCTTGGCATTCGATGGATTCTTGACATTCTGAGAAGCGTCTTCATTCGGAGAGGTGTCATCATCGAGGCCAATGACAACGGAGGTCAGGAAGACATCGTTTTGGGCCTCATTCACTGTCGCTTCCCATTCACCAGCGTAGATCTCGTTGACCTCATAGGCACTCAGAGATACCAAACGACGGTCTCGGCAGTGCTTGTTCCAGGCTTCTGAGATCAGCTGAGCTTGCCCTGGTTTGACATCTTGATGAAGTCGCCAGGGGTTCGAAGTCAACTCCATCAAATCTCGCGAGGAGGAATGCCGTTGGCCATCCGCCAATCCAGATCTTCTTGAATGTGGTCGGCATTCATCTGGCGGATCTCCTCGGGTGTCCAGCCATGAAAACATCCGTCCTCCATGGTCTCGTCTGGAGGAGCGTCCCATCCGGTGAGAATCGGATGGCCAGCCATTGCCTTGGGGACTGGCTGAGAGGTCACGTGTTGCATGACCTGATTCAGCATGGTCTGGAACTTCTGATCCTGAGCTGCCAGCAGTTCGTGAACATCTTGAACTGAGATCATCTGCGGGCCGTCGAATCGACGAGGAGCCTCCATCACCTGTGGCGCTGAGGTAGGCTTGGCTTTCGCCTGAGAGGCGGGAATTGCCGGATCTGTCGAGCTCTTTGAACTGCTGCTGCTCGGCTTCGGTTTTGCCATGAGCTCGGCAATCATGGGTCGGCAAGCCGCCTTGATCTGCTCGTTGGTCATCTTGGAGTCGAGGGTCACGTTGAGGAGGGCAGCCAGGCGAATGAGGTCGGCTTTGAGTGACGGTAGGCCACCTTTTGGTCCGATCAGCTGTCGAACGGCAGCTTCTTGATCTTCCTGAGACTTCATCGCTGCTGCCTTGATTTGAGCCTCTTGGAAAGCTTCCTTCTTCAACTGCGTAGTGATGCCCTTGTTCGCACGGGCTGCCAGCATTCCTTGAAGAAGACTGTCTTCTATGAAGGCGAACTGCAGGCCAACACGATTTCGGAACTGACCCAGTTCCACCAGGTTCTTGGTCTCGTAGACCTGGTTGGTGCAGCTTCTCGTGTAGTGCTCCTTGAGGATGGCTTTGGGCCGCTGCGCAGTCATTGAGACCGCTTGTTCTTCCCACTGCTTGACGTTCGAGATGCTTGGATATGGGAAGGGAGCATACCGCAGATGCGGTCGCTGCAGCAACCATAAGAGCAATCCACGGCCGTGCCATTCGGCGCGAGCCCGCTGTCGTAGCACCATGCGCCTCCACTTGGCGATCATCCCTGAGGTGTCCTGAGTGAGGTCGTGCACGATCGCTTGAGAGGCCATTTGGTCCTTGGTCACTGGTAGTCGTCGGTCGGCAGGAGGTAGTAGGAGTCGTCGACGGAAGGGTCAGAGGGGTTTGAGCCACCGTCATCGCTTGAGCCATTGCCGACAAGGAACGTTCAGTGACCAGGTGCTCGTGCGGTGCTGCAGGTGCTTGCAAAACATCAAAACGAGCTAAACGAGAAAGAAGTTTCTTGTTCCACCAATCGTGACAGTTCAACTGCATCTCGACAACACCATCTTGACCAAAGCTTCGCCAGCGTTGAGTGCCCGGACGCACCCAATCTCCCGTTGGTGGCAAAGGCAGGGTGAAGTGTCCTGCAGCAAGTTGACCCAAATCGTGCAACTCATTGTTGACAAGGTCCGCCCGAAGCTTCTTGCGAGCGAACGACATCACTGCACCAATCCCACTCAAAAAATCTCTCCCCAACAATAATCCCAATGATGCTACCGGCGCAATGGAAACCCAGACCGTGATAAGGGTGGAGCCAATCATCATAGGTAGCCTGTACCGAACATTTGAACGTTGGGTGCCGCCATTTCCAAAACGGAACAGCTCATTCTCAGAGACATGGGAAACCAGGTGCTGGATATACTTTGGGGCTTGCTTCAACATTTCCAAGTAACACTTCAACCAGGTGGATCCGGCGCAGGTCCTGTTGCAAGCTGAGTCCAACGCACCAACAAACTGTTTGTCAACAGCCAACTGAGCATTGGTGCTCACTGCAACTTTGTCGTGGGATTGCGCCAGCACTTCCGACAAGGGCAGGCCAAAGGTCTCTGCCGACAATGTCAACACTTCATGCTCAACCAATGAATCGACACGCTTTGCAACCGACTGTTCTTCCAACGACATGTCAACCGACTGATCAACCAACACACCTGTATCAACCAATGTATCAACCGACTTGTCAACCAATGTTGTCAACATCAACACTTCATGCTCAACCGGTGGTTCAACCAATGCGTCACTTTCCAACAAATGCTCCGTGTTGAGGGCTTCAGTCACACGCACTTGCTTCGCTGGAGAGGAGGTGCTCAGACCTTTGCCACGGCCTTTCTTTCCCAAGCCAGCTCCGGGCTTTGCACATGCGGAGTCACCCGCCCAATGTCCAGGTTCTCCACAATCAAAACAACGGGTGTAGGCCTTCTGCTTGGGAACCTGATTGCCATGCGGTTTCTTGCCAGCTGAAAAGGATGATGATGCGGCCTTACCATAGCCGCGGTCCTTCTTCACTTCAGCAATGCGGCTTCTGGCTTCACGCATGGTCACCAGGCTTTCAGCGGCCTGTTCAAGGCCTGATTCCAACTCCTCCAAAACTGAAGCTTCGCAACCCTGGTCCTCTAACTCCTGGATCTCGCTTGCTAAGTATTCAGCTTCGGCTTGAAGTACCTCTTCAATCGACTGGGGTGAAGCTTCCTCAGCCGGAATCAGTTCAGTGTCTTCTTCAAGCTCGGGCTCATACTGTTCAGCATCCTCTGGCAGCTCTGTCACCAGAGCCTGACGAGGTGGTGCACCGCTGTTTCCGAACCGACGGAAAGGTGGCCGACTCGAAGCTGAAGCTGAGCTCTGTGACCTGAATGAACGAACAGAGGGAGTGGCAGAACTGGGGGACCTGTACGACGTGTGGCTATTGTGCGACTGCAAAAATCTCTGCAACAACGGTGGCTTGTCTGCATGCTTGGCCTTGTAGAGGGGATCGGAGGTGTGCAAATCACGAAACAACCGAAGGCACTCCGTTTCCACAACATCATAGGATTCCCGACCAGCCAATGCTGTTTCCAACAATTGTTGGCGAATCGGGTCCAATCCAAGGCGCTCCTTAAGCATCCAACCAAGCTCTTCCTCAGGCATTGCAATGCCTTCTCTTTTGAGATCTGCAGCAAGCGTTCTGAACCGTGTGCAAAATGCACTAATCCTTTCGCCAGCATTTCTTTTGATCTCTTGATAGTACATGGCGCGAAGTTCACCTTTTCGGTCCAAGCTCGACTTTCCAACGGTAGCCTCCAAGGCATCCATCAGCTTGGTGAGTCCAGCAAAAGGGTTGGCAGGCGTCACAATGATCTTCTCTTTTGTTTCTGGATCTTCCATGGATTCCTCTTGGATGCCAACCAACTCCGACGGATCAAATTCCTCACATCGAGCTCGAACAACTCCATGTTGTCTCAAGGCCCAACGGGCTGCAACGTTGAACTTCTTACAGCTTTCGCTGTCCAAGGAGGCAATCCACCAATTCATCTCTCGGCGGAAAGTCCTCCACTCGGCCGGATTGCCCGACCAGGTAGGGACCCTGTACCAACTCGACGTCCCCGACTCTTCTGAGCTTGCTGCCATGCTGTTGAGGTGCAAGGGAGGCAAAGGCTAGGCCTCTAAAAACAACTGACAAGGTTCGAAGTTTCAAAGGAAGGCCGCTTGTTGAGGCCTTCTGCAAAAGGTGGAGCCTAGGTGCTCCAAAAGTAGTGAACGGGGTGCTGGTCCTCTACGAGGGTTAAGCAGTCAAAGACGAACACAAGGAGAAAGTTCCAAAAGGGCGTGCAAAAGGTACACAAAGACAATGAAAGTCCGAAGGTGCAAAAGTAGCGAGGCCAAGGGTCACCTCTTTGGGCTCGAAGGTCGCTGCCCGGAACACCGCCGTGCAAGGACAACCTAGGAAACCTCAGAGCGTAGTTCTGGCCAAAGAAAAGGACAAAGCTAGGGAGCGGCAGCGGGCGCGAGGGCAACCAAGCAAAGGTCCTGAAAGGTGAGGCTCCGGTGCCACTGTAGAACCAGTCAACGACAGGTTCACGGCGCACGTTTTCGCCTCATGCGTAGCAGCTATATGGCTTAGGCCTAGAAGGCCGCGGAAAAGAGTGCAACTTCCACGAATCCGTCACTGAGACATGCGTCATGGTTTCACAGTAATATTACCAAGGGACATTTACATTCCTGGGAGCACCCCTTCTGTATCTCTCTCTCTCTCTCTCTATGTGTATATTCTATACGTTACTGTAATTACGTCGACGTTATAAGAACATTCCATAGCCGACAACCAAACATCCGGCTGCCTGTGTAGCGCTGTCATCTCTCCAGTGGAGTTCTGTCTCAAATGGCTGAGGTCAGTGTGATCATTTTTCACATGTCGGATGGCGAAAAACGCGCTCCAATGATGCATGACTTTGAAGGTTCGAGGAAGAACAAGAAAGGCAGGCCTCAAAAGTCGTAAAGCCTGGAAGACCTTGAAAGCCTTTACCGTAAATGGTTCATGGGTGTTAGATGGTGTTAGTGTTCTCATGTGCAGGTCCTGCGTTTGGTGGCTGTGAGCGCAAAACACCTTGAGTTTGCAATGCTCGCCCACATTTCACAGCCAGGAGCTCTGTTTGCCACGCCTGGTCAACCCATGAGCCCACCGATATTGAGTCTTAATCAACCCAGTGCTCCTTCAGCTCTCCCCCTTGACTAATGCTTGCCGAATTGAAGGAATTCTGGTGACGTTGGGCAATACTCACGATTGACCCATGCTTGCTTCCTTCATGAAACCACCATGGCCTCCCTTCAACAAGATTGTCGCGTGAAGGATCCACCACACATATTATTCATAAACGATATAGGCATGCCATGGCGTGGCCAATGTGCTAAACATGTGTTAAAGACACATTTTTGCACGCGCAATGCATTTAAGCATTGAAGTGGTATCCATGTTGTATCCGATTCCCCAAGAGCCCCTTTAAGTGTTACAGTAGCTTGCTGGTATTTTTCCTCTCATGGCCTGAGTGTCTATGTCTGACAGGTTTGCCCTGCGCGAAAAGAACTGTCTAGGCAGCTGATCCTGCCGCAATGCTAAAGGCCTAGCAACTTCGAGCTTGACATCAATAAGCACCCGCAGGGGGGCTTCAGGTCCTTGTCTGACAAGGTGGACAAACTGTTGAGTTTGCTAAGTTGGTATCCTTCATGCCTTTGGGACCTAGCCAACTTGCCAGCTGCGTTAAAAAAAACACGTGCTCAGTCCGTGCCAGCACCGACCATAAAAACATGAATGAAAGCACCACAGCTACAGCAGCTACACCTCTGATTGACATCTATTTTGTCGAATCCATTGGTGTTTTCAGCGTGTGTATTGCACTGGTGCTTTCATTCAAATCCGCCGCGAGATGCCTGGCGATTCTGAATTTGCTTTGCTCCAGAACATGACCTCGAGCACAACTGGTCTATGACATAACTGGCCGCCAAAGCGAAGTGAAACATCCTCCGGGAATTTGTGCACTGATAGACGTCCGTCTGTGATTTCTATTAGCCTACATCATCTGGGGTGGTTTTCCACGAAGACTAGCCGCATAATGCAGAAGAACATGCGAGTGTCTTCGAATGTCCTTCTTTTTCGTGGGTCCATGATTTCCCTTAACTCCACAAGTTGCAGCGAAACATCTCGGTGCCCAAAACGACTAAGACCGTTCTCTACGACGGAGCCGTCAAGGTGCGCCCCACTCGGTCTCGTGGGGTCCGGCGCGGTGCCGGTGCTTTGACCATGGCGCTGGGGGGAAAGACCACACGGAAGGTGCTCCCGACCTGCAGTGTTGACCGTGCCGATGTGAGCGCCGAAAAAGAAAGGACCCCCTGGGCAGGAAAGCCGGTGTCATAGATATATGACACTTTAGGAATGCAATGGAATGCAGGTGAGCCACACAGCCACATGCAACATTTCTTGTGTAGGCTGTATTCGTTTTCACATTAGACCGTCCCCTATCGTTTTCCAAGAACTAGCACTCGTCTGCAAGATTCCATGATCCTCTTGTTGGTTTCCCACGCATGAATGCTTTACAGGGAGCACCAAGTGTTCTTTTACCGCTTTCCGAAGAATCCGAGCTTGGGGACAACGATTTCCCCATGTTACCCGCAACCAACATACATGGGCAACTGGTGGGAATTGAACATGGAGGCTATCGTTTCCCCTATCGAATCCCTATCGTTTGAGTTATCGTTAAGATACACATGGCTTTGGAGGAAAACATGACACCGAAAAACGTGCTGCTAGAGCTTGCCCGAATTGCTTGAAGCCAAGTGGCTTCAATTAAATCAGCTCCACACATCCAAGCAAGTGACATGTGGACGTGTTTTCACCCTGTTTTTTTTTGGCCGTCCCCTATCGTTTTCCAACGAAAATCAATTCACCCATGATTGGATGAAACCTCTGAGACAAAACAATTCAATAATTCTGCGTTCGTCTCAGGTGTTAAAGATACGACACTTTAAAATGGAGACCCTTTGGTGAGGTGCCATGAGGGAGGGGGGGACCGAAGAGGAGATGCGTCCGTTTCCGAATTTTTGGAATGCTTTTTCTGGCTGTCAGGTATGGCGGTATGATAGGTCTCTTTTCCAACAAAGATTAACGCCGGCCACCAAACCAAAAACATGTTCAGGATTGTTCAGGTGTGAAGTTGACTGCTGGTTGCACATGGTTCAAACTTCAAACATGTTCAAAGGCATGCGCAATCGGTGGAGTTGTGCACCAATCGGCGAACGTGGAGCACCAACCCGCCTACTCGTCCCTTTGGGCCGAAGTCGAAGTTACAAGGTGGCCACACTTCTGCAAACTAGAGACTAGAGATGGAGGTGGACCACGCTCATCGTGCAGATGAAAACATTTCGGTGAGAAAACCAGATTGGTGGAAGCTCATGGAAGCTCTCCGGGCTCTTACACTCTTAGAGCCAAAACCTGCCACGTGTTTGATCTTTTTTGCCTATCCCAATCGCCCAGTTTTTGGTACCGCGAAGCATAAATCTCTTGCCACTCGATCGAGCCAGGGTTGGTCACTTTCCGAGGCCAGGGTTTGATCACTCTTTACCTGGAACCCTGAAACCCTGGAATGTTGATGAAGACTTTCTGTGTCGAACCCTGGGACATCCAAAAACCAGGCTCTGATCGCAACTTGTTTTGCGTTATCGTAGTCCCATTGCTTTGCATTCAGGATGTGGTTGGCGGTTTTAAGACTTGTCTTCTTCACCTGTGCTGATGTATTTGATTTTCATATACTTACAATACTGATCAATGCTGTATGTATCAAAATGGTTGGAGTGTGCTGGACAAATGCTCGCCTGGCAATCTAATCACCGCACCTCCGAACTTCCCCCCAGCCATGGCCAGCCACTCCCTTGGTGCTCTCCACGAAGACTTGGGCTCGATGCAATCGTGCGATCTCACGGACCACCTGAGCCCAGGACGAACGGATGAACGGATCACGCCACCCGTCATGCTGTCAGGGGAGGGTTGCCGTCATGCTGTCATGGCGTGAGATGGGAATGCCTCTTGACAAAACCACACATCACATCTTCATCAAATGATTTTACAATGCTGATCATGTGATTATGTTAGTCAACCTCATGGAAAGTGCGAGAGTCACCAAAGGCTGTGAGAGTCTCAAATCAATCATCTTGTATATATATATATATACCCTCAATATAAAAAAAATATATATATAATATTAAAAATGATTGTAGAGGATTGGAGGGCCATTGGGGCAATTCTCCGAAATCATCGTTTATTCAACGTGAAAATTGACTGGCTGAAGCAGCATCCCCCCAGAACTCCAGTGCCTTGATTACATTTTATGACAGTCACTGCCTACGAGGCCTTTTTTTTTACATGACTCCTGTTCCTGATTGAAAAACCCCTGGATACCCCTGGGTGGCGGCACGGCACCAGTTCTCAAAACCACATCAAACCACTATTGAAGCTCACAAAGACAACGCCAAAAATGCACTTTCCAAACAAGAACCCTCACTTGTCACATCTTGTGGCCATGAGACCCCGCAAAAACGCTTGAGAATGTGCACAATCGAATTGAATCGGTCTCCACACAGGCCGGGATTTCTTGGTCGCCAAAAGGGGGAGAGTTAGTGAGATATCCCAAACACTCCATGTACGGAAGAGTTCGCACAGTACTAGTAGGGTAATAAATGGGGCACTGTAAGTAAGACCCAGTGGATGATGATGGTTCAGTTTCAGGCCTTTCCAGCCATCTCAAATTGTTCTTGTTGATCCAAACCCGGCTCAAACCCAGTGTCGCTGGTGTGCCAGACTCATTGGGTATGTCACAGACTCCACGCCAAGTGGCAGCGAGCCCCAGGCCAATCCCTTCGTGCTTTCGGGACTCCGAGAAGTCCTGATCCATCGGGGCTCTTCGTGGGGCGCGGGCTCCGCGCGTGGTCGTCGTGACCAAACGCAGTCTTCAGGGAGCGAGCGCTTTCTCGTTGCTTTCGTCTGCTTGGGGTGTCGACCGAGGGGATCAGTTTGGATTCCAACATCGGTCGTTTTGGGGGATCAGTTGGAACCAGAAGGGATGACAATGCCCTCCCAATGT